TCAATGAAGCAGAAGTAGATGTGTTTTCCTGGAACTCCGTTGCTTTTTCCATGATTTACTAATGTTGGCAATTTGATCTCTGGTTCCTCTACCTTTTCTAAACATAGTTTGTACTGGCAGTTCTCAATTCATGTACTGCTAAAGCCTAGCTTGGAAGATTTTGAGCATACCCTTACTAGCATGTGAAATGAGCACAGTTTGAACATTCTTTGGCATTGATCTTCTTTCAGATTGGAATGAAAACTGACTCTTTTCAATCTTCTGTGGCCACTGCTGAGTTTTCCAAATTTGCTGACATATTGAGTGCAGCACTTTAACAGCATCATCTCTTAGAATTTTAAATAGCTCACCTGGAATCCTATCACCTCTATGCTTCCTAAGACCCACTTGACCTCACAATCCAGGGTGTCCAGCTCTAGTTGAGTGACCACATCATTGTGGTTATCCAAGTCATTAAGATCTTTTTTGTATGGCTCTTCTGTGTACTCTTGCCACCTCTTCTTAATCTCTTCTGCTTCTGTTAGATCCTTACAGTTTCTGACCTTTATTGTGCCTATCCTTGCATGAAACATTCCCTTGATATCTCCAATTTTCTTGAAAAGATCTCTAGTCTTTCCCAATCTATTGTTTTCCTCAATTTCTTTGCATTGTTCATTTAAGAAGGCCTTGTAATCTCTCCTCGCTATTCTAAAACTCTGCATTCAGTTGGGAATAATCTTTCCTTTTCTCTCTTGTCTTTTGCTCTCTTCTTTCCTCAGCTATCCATAAAGCCTCTTCAGACAATCACTTTGCCTTCTTGCATTTCTTTCTTATTGGGATGGTTTTGGTCACCATTGCCTGTACAATGTTCTAACTTTCTTCCATAGTTTTTCAGACATTCTGTCTACCAGATCTAATTCCTTGAATCTATTCATCACCTCCACTGTATAATCATAAGGGATTTGACTTAGATCGTATCTGAATGGCCTAATGTTTTTCCCTAATTTTTTCCATTTAAGCCTGAATTTTGCAATAAGGAACTTACGATCTAAGTGACAGTCTGCTTCAGGCCTTATTTTTACTGACTGTATAGAGTTTCTTCATCTTTAGCTGCAAAGAACATAGCCTGATTTCAGTGTTGACTATCTGGTGATGTTCATTTGTAGAGTCGTCTCTTGGGTTGTTGGAAAAGCATGTTTGCTAAGACCCATGCGTTCTCTTGACAAACTCTGTTAACCTAAGCTCTGCTTTATTTTGTATTCCAAGGTCAAACTTTCCTGTTACTCCAAACAGGTATCCCTTGATTTCCTGCTTCTGCATTCCAATACCCTATGATCAAAAGGACATCTTTTTTTTTGGTGTTAGTTGTAGAAGGTCTTGTAGGTCTTCACAAAACCAGTCAGTATCAGTATCTTCAGCATCAGTGGTTGGGACATAGACTTGGATTACTGTAATGTCGAACAGTTTGCCTTGGAAACTAATTGAGATCATTCTGTTATTTTTGAGGTTGCACCCAAGTAGTGCATTTCAGACTCTTTTGTTGACTATGAGGGCCATTCCATTTCTTTTAAGGGATTCTTGCCCACAGTAGTACATATAATGGTCATCTCAATTAAATTTGCCCATTCCAGTCCACTTTTGTTCACTGATTCCTCAGATGTCAATGTTCAAACTTGCCAACTCCTGCTTGATCATGTCCAATTTATCTTGCTTCATGGACCTAGCATTCCAGGTTCCTATGCAATATTGTTTTATATGGCATCGAACTTTACTTTCACCAGACACATCCACAACTGAGCATTGTTTCTACTTTGACCCAGTCAAAGCATTTTTTGGAGCTATTAGTAGTTTCCTTCTGTTCTTCCCCAGTAGCACATTGGACAGACTCTGATCTGTAGGGCTTATCTTCTGGTGTCATAGTTTTTTGCCTTTTTCATACTGTTCATGGGGTTTTCATGGCAAGAATACTGGAGGGGATTGCCATTTTCTCCTTCAATGGACCACATTTTGTTAGAATTCTTCACTGTTACCCATCTATCTTAGGTGGCCTTGCCGATGTGGTTCATAGCTTCACTGAGTTATGTAAGCCTCTTTGCCACGACAAGGCTGTGGCCCATGAAAGGGATTTATCGGATTGGCAAAGTCAAAAAGAATAGTTTAAATATTTTATGAAGTAAAAGAAGTCTTATAAAGTTGAAAACATGCAAATCCTGCAACACAGTGATTCCCACCCAAGGTATACCCTAGAGAAAGCTATGCATACCTGCCCCAGTCATTATACACAAGGTGGCTGCTGCAGTACACTTTTAAGAACAAAACTTAAGAAACTTCCATGTCAACCACTCAAAGAATGGATAAATGGTAACCTAGTTCTACAGTGAAACATAATATAGCCGTTAAAAGAATAAACTAACTCTCTCTATTAACATGGCAATATCTCAAAATGCATGGTTAAATGAAAAAGCACATGCTGCAAAATGACACAGTGTGAAAATACTTATGAAAAAAGTAAAAGAATTAAAATATATTAAAAGTAATAGATGGTCTGAAAGATAGCAATAACATTCATGGTCAAGACTCCTTTGGGGTGGTAAGAAGAGAAATGGTACTGAGTTAAGTCCTCAAAAGAAGACTTCAACTTTATCTATAAAATTAAATATGAAACAGAATGAAAAATGTTAACAGCTTCAATGCTAGGTGATGAGTACTAATGTTTTGATTTCATCAAGCTCTGTACTTTAATTTTTTTCTAAATGTTAAGAAGTAATTTTTAAAAGAAAATAAACAAAATAGATACCTTGGTCGCATACATTTGCAAGAGGTTGACCATGAATTTGACTTAGAGTTCATTATTCATTCCATCACTATTTTCTTTGTTGTGGTTGCTGCTGTTTTAGTGTTAGGCCAAGTTCAGTCCAGATCAGTTCAGTCACTCAGTCATATCTGACTCTTTGCGACTTAATGGACTGCAGCATGTCTGGCTTCCCTATCCATCACCAACTCCCGGAGCTTGGTCAAACTCATGTCCATTGAGTCAGTGATGCCATCCAACCATCTCATCCTCTGTCGTCCCCTTCTCATCCTGCCTTTAATCTTTCCCAGCATCAGGATCTATTCCAATGATTCAGCTCTTCACATCAGGTGGCCAAAGTATTGGAGCTTCAGCTTCAGCATCAATTCTTCTAGAGTGTTCTGGGTTGAAACATGCAAACAAATGTTTCAAAATACATCCTTTCATGGTCATACTAATCTATAGGAAGGAAGTTTTATGAAGGGTACACAGGTCGATGACAAATGTCTAAGTATATGCTTTTCCAATACTGTAGTTTCATAACAGCAAATGTTGGAATTGATAAGTTTTCCCCAGAAATGTGTATAGGTCACATCTGTTTGTTTTTGTTTTTAGTTGCTCAGTCATGTCTGACTCTCTGAGATCCCATGGACTGTAGCTCACCAGGCTCCTCTGTTCATGGAATTCTCCAGGGAAGAACAGTGGAGTGTGTTGCCATTTCCTACTCCAGGACATCTCCCCAACCCATGAATCGAACCCAGGTCTTCTGCATTGCAGGCAAGTTCTTTTACCATCTGAGACACCAGGGAAGCCCTACATTATTTGAAACATAGTTGATATTTATGAATATCTCTTTTGATGGGGACTTGATGAAACCACTTAATGTACTCACTTAGAAATTAAACTGTAAATTACATCTTCTTTGTAGCTCATTTTGTCAAAAATTATATAATTTCTATACATGTTGTTTTTCATACATATTGACTCTACAATAATTTGCTGACATAAGAGCACAAACCAAGCAAGAATAATGATAACTGAGGTCTAAAAATGTAGAAAACCTGACTTTTAGCTTTAAAAAACAGTGTTATTTTTTTCTTCAGGTTGAATTTTAAAGGAAAAACTTCTAGACAAGAGTTTCATATGGTTTCAATGGACCATATAGCTTAAAAAGTATAGCAACTGTGTTCATGAAGCAAACATTTATTCATCAAGGACTATGAATTAGTCATTCTTAGCACTTTAAGCAACTCCAAAAGAAAAAATTTTACATATTGTCCAGATCAAGTCAATACAGATTAATGGAAATTCCTTTTTTCATGTTATAGAATTGGTCATAAATTGCCTTTTGTGAATTATTTCCACACAAGTCACAAAATCTTAAAGAAATGTATTCTTTACTATAAATTCTATCACTTTTGTGATATGGGCAAATAAAATATCTAAATATATACCCTATATATTTTTTAAAATCCCCTCTGAAATATGTTTTATCTTCCACAGGCTGTCAATAATTATTTTAAAGCTATTAGTATTTTGGGGAATTCTTTGGAGGTCCAGTGGTTAGGATTCCACACTTCCTCTCCATAGGACATGGATTCAATCCCTGGTCAAAGAACTAAGATCCAACAAGCTACATGGTACAGCCAAAAATAATAAAAATTAAAAATACCTTTTTAAAAATAAGTGTTTTAATCAATATTTTGAGGATTGGGAAACCAATGTTCATTCAAAAATAGGATGATGAATTTGTATCAGTATGAAAAACCAAACAACCTAACACATAATAAACCAAGAAGTAAATTCTTTAAAGGGACTTTTGGGATTCTATGAATTGTACTGACCCTAGTATAGTGTATTTTCCAATAAATACACCTTTTTACAGTCTTTTGCTGTACTGTAGTCAACCAAAATGCTATTCCAGTACCTCTGGCTTTGCCATGTCCCTACTTAGAACATGCTTTAACAACAACCACAAACTCTGTCTTTTCTTTATCTGTAGTATCTCTTCTAATCACAAGTACTTGTGCTTATGAAGTCAATAAAGTGGGTTTTCCTCCAGGTACATAAATCTCTGAAGCTCAAATACATTCAAGCAAGACTCCACTAGATCCTTATGTAACTTTCTAAGAACTGCCTATGAGGATTCCACGCCAAAGACCAAGGTCAATCAAATCTCAATCAGGCAATTAAATATTCATTCACACATTTGCAGCAACAGTATAAATACCTCTTTTTTCTTCTCTTCTCTTTGCAACAATTCCTTCTTCTTACACAGTTTCTCTTTCTCCTCTTCCTTTTCTCTTCTTCTGGCAGAGATTTCCATTTCCAGTCTTGTTACCTCTTCCTGGCGGGCTCGCCACTGAAGAACCTGAAATAAATAGAAATTCATCCAATAAATAAATACACTCAAGTGATTTCACAGATCATAAGGAGACTAGATTTTGTATCAAGCAGATGTTAAAGACTTTCCAAGGACACATTAAAATTCTGCATGCATATGAGTGTGTGATGTATGTGTAAAGTGTAGAAAGCAACTGTAAAAATCACCTCATTCAGAGACTGTTCACTTGGATTCATGGAATGAAATTCTAAAGAGTCTGTGATTTGATTTCAAAAGATCTGTGAATTCTCATAAATATTATGTAAAAGTTTTGTGTTTTTGCAGATGTGTTTTTCTGGAACAATATTTCTATTTTCTAGTCAACAGTTTTCAAATGGGCTTAATATCCTAAAACTTTTAAGAATCCCTGATATGTTTCATCCTGATTTTTATAAGTGAAGAAAATGAGCCTGAATGAAGATGAAAAAAATTAAGACATTTAAAAGAACTTCCTAGGTACTAATAGGTGTTATTGGTAGAAATATAATTAGTACAGCACTTCTAGAGAACACTGGGTAATATGTAAATATATATCACAATATGAAATATACATAGTCTTTCACCCATCATCCCACTTTGAAGAAGTTATTCAAAGAAGACAATCAACAGGACATGTGCACAAATTACCAATAGGAATGTTCATTGCAGTGCTGCTTAAACAGAAAAACTGGAGAGTCTTAAGTGTCTGGCAACAAGAAATGGCTTAAATTAATTATGGCATCATCATGCAATGACTGCCATTGAAAAAGTTTCTATATTTCCATATTCATCAACACAGAAAATATCTACAACCTATTATTAGATGTAAAAAAGCAGGTGCAAAACCACATTCATGGTATGATCTCATTAAAATAAAATATCATCTATCTATCTATGCATAGAAAGAGATTTGGAAGGAGATTTACCAAAATAATAATATTGTTTATCTCTGAATAGAAGCATTTCATGGAATTTAAAAAAAATGTTTATAATAAACATGTCTTATCTTTTTGAGCAGTAAACCAATAAAACTAACAAAATAAAAGCAAACACACATTCCATGTATACATATAGCTAACAAAAGCAGAGAGAAAGGAGATGGATACCGATGCAGAAAATCTTCTTTTTGGAAAAGGAAGAAACTAGCATTCTCAGTTTAATATATCATTGTCATATATTTGATATAAGCATGATTCACTGTGGTAATATATGAAATGAAAATTGAGTAAATAAAATATCTTAAAATATGGTGAACTAAAATAACTAGTTAAGCTCTTTTTTGCACTTTCGTTATTCAAAGTTTGTTTTCTAAAAATATATTTTGCTCTATTCATCAAAATAGAAGGAATATCAAGGAAATTCAGACTTTTGGTTTTCAAACACTTAGGTTTCCCCAACTACTGATAATCTTAGCCATATTTATTTCTTCTTTTGAACCCTATTCCTAGAATAAGATCATCTATGCCTTCTGTCCTAACCTATTACTTCCAAATCATTCCTTCCTTTATCTACCCTCTGTCTGTAATATGCTATGTCAAAATCAAGTGCCCTGTCAAATATTGCCAGGGGTCTCCCTCCTGGATTGGTCCCCGTTTCTTTAACCTTACGGTGGTATTTAACTCTGTCAACCACCTCTCCATGTTTAAAACTCTTTCATTCCTTGGCTGTAACACTGTTCTCCCCTGCTTCTCCACCATTTGATACTGCTCCCTTCCCTTCTTCCTGCGGCCTGTGTCTACCTTATACTTCTAAATCTATTGCTATCCTTTCTCAACCTCAGCCTCTCTGTTTGTTATCTACTGCGCTTGTCCTCACCTCCAACTAATGCCAAGGTTAACAATTTTAACCTTGTTAATGTGTAGTCTCTAGGTAGGATTTTTCCCTGTTCCTTTCTTTATACCGCCATCTTTATTCTTTGCCTCATGGTGTGACCCAAACTATTCCCCCACCTGAAATGCCCTCAGTTTCCCCCTATTTCATAAAATGCTTCTTGGCCCAGCACATGTCCCATATCTGCCACTAAACATTCTCCAACCCACATTCATCTCTCTTATTATTTCACTGACCATATCATAACTGTTCTCTAATTATTTTGAGCATAGTATTTCTATTTCCATTTAGAGCAGAGGCCATGATATATAGGTATTTTGTTTTCCCCTTATACTGCAGAGTGCTAGCACATGATAGATGCTCAAGTAATACATATTTAAATTACCAAAATAACATTTCTAAATGGAACCAAATAAATAAAAAAGAAATGATAGCATTAGAATATACCCTTTTGCAATGCATAATGAAATAATGGGTTCTCGTTCATGATAAACTTTTGCTACTGAAATTGATCTGAGCTGATAGGAAATGTTATAGTAATGGATGGATCAGGCTGACAACAGTTGAAAACACTGAGTAATCTTAACATCAAAGAGAAACAACCAGCCATTTTAGTCTTTGATTTGAATACACCAAATGTAAAAAAAATATGAAACAAATATATTTCGATATTGATTAGTAAGTAGATGCTATTATGGAAACACTGTTCAAGTTTTTAGGTGTGATCATAGTATGGTTATCCCTTTATAAAAAGTCTTTTTAATTTTAGAAATAAATACTAAAATACAGATGAAATGATATAATATCTGGGTATCTGCATAGGCATGAGAGAGTAGGTAAGGGTATAGATGAAAAAAAATATGACTAGTAAGTTGATAATTGCTGAAGTTGAATAATGACAGACTTTTATATATGTCTACATTTTTCTGTATTAAAATTTTTATTTAAAAAACATAAAATATAATGTATGTCCAAAGAGATTTGCATAATAAAACACTGGAGTCTCAAGGTTCTCAGACAATGAGACCTGAGAAGCAGTGAACTAATGTAAAGACAAACAGTATACATTCAGCCTTTCTGAGTATTGGGACTATTCCTATAAATTTCAATAGAAAAAAGTTTGTGTTTTGAAACTATTTTACTCAGTTTTGATTTAAGACTAATTTATGGGAATTATCATTGAATGACTTTGCACATGTAATGTTGTATGATTTATGAAGCCAAATATAAGCAAATACCGACAACTGAACAAGATATCTGTTTCCAAAGGTAAGTATAGCAAGAGAATAACCAGACCAATAAAATTCAGGTACCCCAGTTAATCTCCCAGTTTACCCTTCTTGTCATTTGCAAGTCTAAACAATGTTTTTCCTGTTCTCCAGAAAAGATTACGGTAATTTTTAAAATGGGGCATACACTATAAATCATAAAACAAATGCAAGTTGAGCAATCAAAAGCCAATGGGTTATAGATGTTAAGCTATGTGCACATATATGAATGAATTGCTGGAACAAAAACTCTGGAGCAAGTCAACATCAGCCTTTTGAAACTAAATAGCTTCTACTTCATATTAGAATCATGAGAATGGTCAGGGACTGTTAGAAGTTTGCCTGCAATCAATAACTCACAATATCATCTGTAATTATACCTATATCCCCTCTCCCCCACAAAATAAGGTGAAAATTGAAGGAGAGAATGTTGTTGAAGCTAGCATTATATCCTCCTAAGTAGCTGGAGTTGTGAGATCATGACAATGAGAACAGGCTCTGCAGCAGTTAGTATCCAGGAGGTAAGGTAATGGGGCCTTCTGTAATACACAATGGATACAGTGAAGACTCCACTGGGAAAAGGGTGACACTGAAAAAAATCTGTACCCAGTGGATCCCCACAGAGGCAGCCAAAGGATTTTCCATGAGGAGAGAATGACAACCGATTATGGTATTTTCAAGTCCAAGAACAAGAAAGCTGACAGGTGGGCAGAGGAATCAATATAAGCACAATAAGCTGAAGTACAGAAGAGCAAACCGTGAGCAAAAGGAAGAATACCCCAGAAGAACATTTTAGTGGTTTTTATTTTAAAAGGTTTGGTAATTATATAGCTTTAAATGGAGCATGCGAACATAACTGTGTAGCAATAACAACCAGGAAAGAACATTACCACAGTGGTAGTCCAGAGCACATTATAAGGAAATATATTATTTAGATTATTAACTACAGAACTTTTTCCAGTTCTTTAGTTAATTCTTTGTTTAATATTCCTGCCAAAGGTACAGTCTTTGAATGAAACCTTAACAGAGAACAAATGAAGTTTAAAATATGTTAATCTGTTGCCAATAATAAATTAAGGATTTAAAATGGAAATGGTTAGTAGTATTACATGGATCCTTTGCTCTTGATGTAAAAGTTAAATAGTTCAAGGGAAATTAATTAACATGCATATTTTCAGAATGAATCAAGTACTAGAAAGACACAAAATGAAGCCCATGTAAAACTTCAAAGGCAATAATGGAAATTAATATCAAGGTAACAATATTAACACAATTTTACACCAAAGTTGAGAGCATTGAAAATAACTCTGAAGTTGGCAACGCAGTATAAAGGAAATGAGTATTAAACTGCTGGTCAGAATACCAGCCTTTTTGTCTTCTCTCTGCCACTAACCAACAACACTGTTACTTTGAGCAAATGGCTAGCCTAGTTTTCCCCCATGTTAAAGTGGACGACTGGATCAGGTGACTTCTATAGTTTCTTTAAGTCCTAATATTCTGAGTCTATTTTCTATTTTCCTTATATATAGAGACCACAATATGCTCTGTAGTTTTCTTCAAACAAAATGAATTGCAATGAGGAACATCAGTATTTTATGAGCCTGTTAAATAATAATAGACAATTAAACATTAATTGTGAATTCTATCAGCCATTATTTGTGGAAACATTGTATCATGTGTATTGTTTTATATGGGAAAGTACTATTGAGCAGGGTCTATAACTTATGATAAAATATTAAAAACTGCCATATATGAGGGCTTACTGTGTGCTAGGCCTATGCTTTGTAAATGCATTAATCACAGTGTCAAGTAATCCTTGAAACAAGCAAGCTCTCTCTTCTTCATGCTTCATCTGGCTAACTTTTCCTTATCCTACTCAAGCCTAAACTTAGACATCATTTGTTCCAAGAA